ATATATATATATATATATATATATTTGAAATGAGAATTATTGTCCTAGATTGTGTCCTTGGAGTATTTGGGATCGTGGAGTTTTTTTTTCTTTTTTTTTCTTCCTGTTTGTAAAATTTTCTATTTTTTGTCAAATTTTCAGGTTTTAATAAACCAAATAAAAAACTAATAAAACAACGTGGGTGTCAATTCTTTTTGAACTGATTAGACGCTCGTGAAGCATTTTTAGTTTTTTCTTTTTTCCTATCTCTATGTAAAAATTTTGTATAAATTTTTTTGGCGAATTTAGGTTTATAATAAATTAAAAACTAAAAAAAATATAGGAGTCTATTTTTTGGAATTGGAGTAGTTGTAATTTTTTTTTAGTTTTCAGTTTCAATAAATAAACGCCCAAAAACGTGGACTCCATGATGTGAATAATTTTGTAAGTTTTTTTTTCTTATTTGAAGTTTTTTTGAATCTCCAAATTTATTGGAGGTTGGTCCTAAAACTTTACACATGTTGATATTTGGTTGTGACACTTGGCACAATAATATGGCTTTGCTTCTCCTATTCTATATAGATAGATTCCGTGCTTCCGAGGCCTTGAAAACCCCATTTTTACTTACCTCGATTTGCGTGCGCAGTCCGGGCGCGTAGCCCGAAAGCTTAAATATGAATTTTGTGTAAAAATTGATGAATTTTGATATTAATATGAATAAAGTTGACTTTGGTCAATATTTTGAGTAAACGGACCCGGACCCATGATTTGACGATCCCGGAGGGTCCGTAGAAAAATATGAGACTCGGGCATATGCCCAGAGTCGAATTCCGAGGTCGAGGGCCCGAGAAATGAATTTTTCTGTGAAATTGTTTTTCAGAAATTAATATGGAAATTTGAAAAGGAAATTGATTAGAACGTGTTGGTATCGGGCCCATATTTTGGTTCCGGCGCCCGCTACAGGTCTTATATGTGGTTTAAGCGCTTTCTGTGAAATTTGGTTGAAATCGGACGTCATTTGACGTGTTTTGGACCTAAATATCTAAAAATGAAAGTTTATGAAGTTTGATGAAAAAGTGATGATTTTGAGGTTTAATTCATTGATTTTGATGATATTTTGGCGATTTGATCGCACGGGTGAGTTCGTAGGATGTTGTTGAGTTAGTGTGTGTGATTAGTTAGGAGCCTTGAGGACTCGGGAGTGTTTTCGGAGGTGTTCGGGATGGTTTTGAACTTAGGAAGGAATCAAATTTTTCTGTAATTTTTACACAGTGAAATCCTTCATCGCGATCGCAATACCCCCTTCGCGTTCACATAGATTCTGAGTCCGCCTCCTTCGCGTTCGCATTTCAAGTACCGCGATCGCGTAAGCCAAACCTTGGACTCCGGTATTCTTCCGAAATGCGTTCGCATTAACAGACTCGCGTTCGCTTAGCTTTGTAAACCTCTTCTTCACGTTCGCATCATAAATTACGCGTTCGCATAGACCAGACTTTGGACCCCAGAATTTTTCCTCTTCGCGTTCGCACTTCTCCACTCGCGAACGCGAATGTTGTCAATTTCTGCCCTTCGCGAACGCGACCCTACTGTCGCGAACACGTAGGGTAATTTCACCCAACGATTTTTAAGTCATAAAAACGGAACAGTGTCGGGTTTTATTCAAAAAATACACGAACCCTTTCTTCTCCAAAGCTTCTAGGCGATTGTTAGGGCATTTCTTCATCAAAGCTTCTTGGGTAAGTATTGTTTAACTTGTCTCCTTCATTTTTCCATCATCATTTATCAAATTCCTAAGCTCAAATCATGTAATCTAGGGTTGAAATTGGGGAAAATGGGTAGAGTTAGAGCATTTCAATTTTCTTTGATTTAAACCTCGTTTTGGGGTCGGATTTGAAAATAAATTGTATATTCGGGCTCGTGGGGGAATGGGTGATATGGAATTGGTTCGAACCTCGTGTTTTGACCAAGCGGGCCCGGGGTCGATTTTGGAATTTTTGGGAGAAAGGTTGGAATCTATATTTAGGCATTGGGTTTGATTTGTTTAGCTATTATTGATATTATAAAGTCGTTATTTCATAGATTTGATTGAGTTGGAGCCGAATTCGAGAGGTAATGCTGTACTAGAGGCTTGAGTTGAGTTTGGAGCATTCGAGGTAAGTGTTTGGTCTAACTTTGGCTTGAGGGAATAAGAGTAGAGTCTTATTTGTTAATTGCTATTTGTCGAGTACGGTGTATAGGCATGGTGACGAGTATCTATACACTGGTGTCGAGCATGACCGTGAGTCCTGAATTGCTATATTATCGAATTCTTAATTGTTGTTTACAAGGACTTGGTTGGAAATCTTTAACACTGAGCATTGATTTAATTGTGTTAAGTAGAAATTGAGTAAGTTTGGTTATAGCTGGATTCTCCCTTGCCGGGATAGTTTATTGTATTATCTCGTTCCCTTGCCGGAATAGTTTATTATATTATCTTGTTCCCTTGCCGGGATAGTTTATTATATTATCTTGTTCCCTTGCCGGGATAGTTTATTATAACATCTTTCTCCCTTGCCGGGATTATTTTGTGTATTGTGTTGAAAGAAATGGGATCGTGTGGCACGCCGACCACGAGATATTATGAAATGGGATCGTGTGGCACGCCGACCACGAGATATTATGAAATGGGATCGTGTGGCACGGCCGACCACGAGATACTATAAAATGGGAGCGAGTGGTACGCCTACCACGTGATACTATGAAATGGGAGCGAGTGGTACGCCTACCACGTGATACTATAAAATGGGAGCGAGTGGTACGCCTACCACGTGATACTATGAAATGGGAGCGAGTGGTACGCCTACCACGTGATACTATGAAATGGGAGCGAGTGGTACGCCTACCACGTGATACTATGAAATGGGAGCGAGTGGTACGCCTACCACGTGATATTATGAAATGGGAGCGAGTGGTACGCCTACCACGTGATATTATGAAATGGGAGCGAGTGGTACGCCTACCACGTGATACTGTTACTCTGGATTTACTGTTAATACTGGTATACCCCCCTCCCTCCCGCAGCATGTTTCCCCCTCCCATCTTTACTTGTTTATTCTTGTTTTACTTTCCGCTGTATATTATATAACTGCACAGGTTTAATTGGTAGTCCGGTCCTAGCCTCGTCACTACTTCGCCGAGGTTAGGCTAGGCACTTACCAGCACATGGGGTCGGTTGTGCTGATACTACACTCTGTGCTATTTTGCACAGATCCAGGTTTTGGGCAGCGGCAGCAGTAGCGCGGGAGCAGGCCTTCAGTCCAGCGAGACACCGAGGTAGCCTTGCAGGCGTCCGCAAGCCCGACGTCTCCCCTATCTTTTACTTTAGACTATTATCTCATTGTATTCGAGACAAACAGATATATTTCTTTCAGGCATTGTATTTAGTATTCTTAGATGTTCGTGAGTATTGTGACACCAGTCTTGGGTAGAGGCTTATGTTGAATTCTTCCGCATTTCCATTCAGTTTTTCGTTAATTTAAGACTTCCGCTTATTTAGTTAAATCAGTTGCTTTTATTTTAGTGCTGATAAATTATTAAAAAGGATTATGTTGTTAATGACAAAGTAATTAATGTTTGGCTTGCCTAGCTCCCAATAGTAGGCGCCATCACGACTCCCGAGGGTGGGAAATCCGAGTCGTGACAGCAACAATCCCCCACATGAATGGGGAATGGACATATGTGAAAAATATGCATGAAAATACTGTGTGATTCGCAAGTAAGGATTAATCGCATCTGGATAAGTAGGTTTCCCTTTGAACTTTCCGTAGTGAACTTATGTCGGATATACTCGGTCAATCGGTAGATTTGATATCTTTGAACCGTCGAGCTTTGGTGTATACCTAGACAACCATAAGTCACACAATCAACCCTTAACCGTCTTTGGTTCTCATTGTTGTGTTCGTTTCATGCATGAACACCACCTGGTTCATACGTGCGTAGAGAACTGGCCTTACAGAATTCTCCTTGAAGCGGCTTACACTTCACACTTACATAGGTGATTCCTAAACGTGTTATCCCGTAGATACACTATT